TCAAATAATCTCACAAAATGTCATTTGAAGATCTCCAAAATCACTGAATGTTAAGTATTCAAGTCACTATTTTTTAAAACAGCTCTATTATATTAGATGGAGTCCTAGTGTGGCACTAGTGTGGCGCTAGTGTGGCACAGTAGGCTAAATCACAAGATGGCGGTTCAAATCAACCAACTGCTCCTTGGGAACAATATACAGGGTAGCTATGAGTTTGAAAAGCAATCAACAGCACTTAACAACAACAACATTATATTGGACAATAATTTGAAAGCTAATTTTGTCTCACTTTGCAAGAACTCCTTTTATGCACATTGTTGGCTTAAGATGTCATCACTAATTATAATTGAGCTACTTTTAGTGAAATAACCTTTGCTGTTTCAATTTCATTCTTAGCACATCCATGTAAGATTTGGATGTGGCTCATCACTTTTCATATAACATGTATGGCCTAGTGACCTGTTGTATTAACGAGTCAAAAATGTTCTTTGTGTATTGGCCTCAAGTTGTTTACTCCTTTTAGTAATCTGTGCACCTCCTCACTTAAAAAATAAAAAACAACTATAAAAAGACTCGCTGGTGCCAAACACAAATTTGTACACACCCAATTGTTTTAAAAGAAGATTCTAAGCCATGTAGAGCCTGTCTGCTTTACGGATCCCACAAAACTGTGATCAACATCTGCAGCCCTGGATAAGATAGAAAGGTATAGAGTCCCTGATGTTACTGTGATCTCTGACCCAGAGGTTCCCCACCTTGCTTCAGAAGAACATCACCTGGATACACAGAAGGCTCTCCCTTCTCTTCTTCCCCTTCTGGTGGCTTCCTGTCCCTCTTGCCTCTGTAGATCTCCTGCTTCAAGGGACTGCCTCCTGCTTGTGGCTGTCAACACAGAGCTTGCGTGTAACACTATTTCCTGGTTATAGCTTGCTCTTGAAAAAATATTTTTAAACTGTGTTGAAAATATACATAACAAAGCATATGCCATCACAACCATTTCTCCATGTCCAATTCAGTGATATTAATTACATTCTTCAAATTATACAACCATTCTAGGTATCTCTTTACAGAATCATTCCATCACCACTAAGAGAACTCACACAGCAAAATCTGTTCTATTTAGTGAACAGTCTGAATTTTGACAAATAGCTCGAGTTGTGAAACCACAGCACCACCGTGTAGATACAAAACACTTTCATAACTCCCAAAATTCCCTTTGCTACTTCTGGGTGGCCAGACTCTTCTACTTCTTCACAATTTTGTCTTTTTCAGATTGTTGTATGAATGAGATCATACAAGATGTTAGCCTGGAAATCAGCTTTCTTTCATGAGCAATAATACATTTGAGATTTATTTGTATTGTAAGTATTAGTACTTTGTTTCTTTTCTTTTCTAAAGTGTTCCATTGTAGGGGTGGATCACTCTTTGTTCATTAGTTGAAAGATATGTGAGTTATTTTCAGTTTCTGGCTTTTATTAATATGTTACTGTTATTTTCCCTAGAATGGATTTCAAGTCAGGCAGACCCAAATGCGCTAAGAAGAAATGCTTCACAGGGTTTTCAAAGTTGTGACCTTTTGGAAGCAGATTTCCAGTTTAGTATTCCAAGGTACCTTTGGATGGGTTTGAACTACCAACCTTTCAGCTAGTAGTTGAGTACTTAACCATGTGTACAATCCAGAAACTTCATTATAAATATAATTACTCTGCATGTTCATGCACAAGTTTTCATGTGAATGTGAGTTTTCATTGTCCTTGGAGTGGAATTGCTGAGTCACATGTTAAGTGTGACTCACTCATCTATGCCAAGAAGTTTGAAAGACAGCTACCTGGCCAATGGATTTAAAGACACCCATATTTGTGTCCATTCCAAACAGTGGTGATCCAATGGAATGTGGAAATCAATAATAAACAATATCATTAACATCACGTGCAAGTAAATTTCTGCTGAAGATAATTAAAAAACAGTTGTGGCAGTGCATTGACAGGCAGCTACCAGAAATTCAGGCTGGATTCAGAAGAGGATGAGAAATGAGGGATACCATAATTCAGGAGCATCTATAGTTTTTCTTATTCATTGTTCAACTTTCCAAATAGTGATGGAAAATACCATAGCTTAGGTGAGGCTCACCTTAGTCCTAAAACTGACACCTTTACTCTTTAAAACTTTAGAGAGGGCTTGTGCAGCAGAATTACCTAATGTAATACATCCTTTGATTTCTTGACTGCTACATCCGTGAGCATTGATTGTGGACCCAAACAAAATGAAGTCTGTGACAACTTCAATCTATTCTCCATGTATCATGATGTTATTTATTTGGTTCAGTTTGGGGATTTATGTTTTCTCTGCATTGAGGCCCAATCAATACTGTAGTCTTTGATCTTCATCAGCAAGTATTTTCAATCCTCTTTACTTCCATCAGACAAGGTTGTGTCATCTGCAGATGGATTACTTTGTTTGCATGCGAACCTTGGATAATGAATAAGAAAGACTGTAGATACATTTGAATTACAGTGCTGGAGAATTGTATTAAGAGTACCATGGACTGCCAGAAGAACAAACAAACTGTGCTGGAAGAAGTACAGTCACAATGCTCCTTAGAAGTGAGAACTCCTCTTGTACTTTGGACAGGTTGTCAGGGGGGACCAGTCCCTGGAGGAAGACATCATGCTTGGTATAGTGGAATTATTGAAAAAGAGGAAGATCCTGCCCCCTCCCCCCAACAAGCTGGATTAACAATTGACTCAAACATAATAATCGTGAGGACTGAGCAAGGTTTTGTTCTGTTGTGAATCGGGTCATTATGAGTCAGAACTGACTGGAGAGCACGTAACACCACCACCACCACCACCAGCAACATGGATGTGTTGTTGTTAACTGCTATCCAGTCAGCTCTGACTTGTAGCAACCTTGTGTAGGGTTTCTCAGGAGAGGCTGTTGGATTTGAACTGTTGATTTTGTGGTTCAAACTGACCTTGCAGTCCAGTGTATTATCCTGTAGTGACACATCTGGACTGTCAAGTGCTGTCCAGTCGATTCCAACCCCTAGCGACCCTGTATAGGGTTTCCAAGAAGCAGCTGGTGAGCTTGAACCACTGAACTTGCAGTTCAAATGGCTTTTCAGTCTGGCACATTAACCCACAGCGCCACACCAGGACGCCAACAGTAGGAGAATGTTATTGTTGTTCTTAGTGTTATTGAGTTGGTTCTGACTCATAGCGACCCTATCTAGGGTTTCCAAGGAGTAGCTGGTGGGTTTGAACCATCAACCTTGTCGTTAGCAGTACAGGGCTTATTGGGACACTGTTGTTTTATTTTGCATGAGGTTGAGCATCTCCTCGTTTGTCTATTTACTATACATGAAGATCAAAGACTACAGCCTTCACTATAGATTGTACTTCAATATGAAGAAAACAAAAATCCTCACCACTGGACCAATAAATAACATCATGGTAGTTGGAGAAAAGATTGAAGTTGTCAAAAACTTCATTCTTCTTGAATCAACTTTCAACACTTATGGAAGCAACAGTCAAGAAATAAAATGATGTATTGCATTGGGCAAATCTATGGCACAAGATCTCTTTAAAGTGTCCAAAAACAAATCTATCAGCTTGAGGACTAAGGTGTGCCTGACCCACACCATAGTATTTTCAATTGCCTCATGCAACATATGAGAGTTAGACAATGAATAAGGAAGACTGTAAAAGAATTGATGCATTTAAATTATGGTGTTAAAGAAGAATGCTAGAAGTATCCACAGACTGTCAGAAGAACAAATA